TATGAAAACTTTTATATGTCTTTTTCAAAGGATAATAGCCCTCCTTTAGCTTGGACTCACTTTAAGGTATATATACTTATATATTTATTTATTTAAATTTATATATCTATTGATTTATAGATGCGTTATTTTAACTTTTAAATCATCATTCATCAATCTTTTTCTTATTATAGGCTGAAGGTGAAGTTGATTTCAAGGCTATTGTATATATTCCGTCTAAAGCTCCTGATAATTTATTTCAAAAAGTCCAAGATTTTGCACGTAACGTTAAACTTTTTGTTAAACGTGTATTCATTACCGATGAATTTTTGGATTTCATTCCAAAATACTTAGCTTTCATAAAAGCTATAATTGATGCTGATGATATACCTTTGAATGTTAGTAGAGAAACCTTACAACACCATAGATCTCTCCAATTAATTAAAAAACGAATTGTTAAAAAAACTTTGGAATTAATTGCTGATTTAAAAAATGATGATGTCAAATATACTAAATTCCTTAAAGAGTTTGGAACAAGTTTAAAAATTGGAGCTATCGAAGATAATGAAAACAGAAAGAAGATCGCTCATTTACTAAAATTCCCAAGTTCTTATAAAGGTTCAAATTGGACTACTATAGATGATTATATTAGTAGAATGAAAAAAGATCAGGATAAAATGTATTTTGTCACTGGTTCTTCCGTTGAAGAAGTTGAAAAATCTCCTTTTATCGAAGGTTTTGTGGCAAGAGGTTATGAAGTCTTGTATATGGTTGAACCTATTGATGAAATGTTGGTTCAACATATGCCTGGTCATGGTGGTAAAATGTTTCAAAATATCGCAAAGGGTAACATCAATTTTGGTGGTGAAACCGATATTCATTCAACATCTGAATTGAAATTCAAGTTTATTAAATTATCTGAGTGGATGCAAACTATACTTACTGATCAAGTCGAAAAAAGTTTGTTTATTTTATTTATTATTATTATCTTGTTTTTACCTTTTTTTTTATTTGAATAATATATTGATATCATTGCTTAATTTATATTTTGATGAATTTTATTAGTTGAAATATCAAAGCGTCTTACTATATCTCCCTGTGCTGTCGTCGCGAGTGAATGGGGTTGGACTGGACATATGGAAAGAATGATGGCCGGTAATTCTTTTTGTTTCTATTATCACATTTATATTTCACAACTTCTCAACTAATAAATTAATTACTGTCAACTCATAAATCAACTAATGAATTTAGCACAACCATTTAAACAAGAGAATGAATTCCTAAAAGAGTTCTATGCAAAACAAAAGAAAATTCTAGAAATTAATCCACATCATCCACTTATTATTGGATTATTGGATAGAGTCGAAAAAGGCCAAACCGATGAAACTACAAAAGAATTAGTCCAGGTTTTATATGAATCTACATTAATTAGATCCGGTTATGATTTGAAAGATAATTTAAAGTATGTTTTT